TTTCTCTTTCGTTCTCTCTCTCACTCTCTGTTCCTCTCTCACACTCGTAACAATAAATGGAACAAAACTCTCTCTTTCTCTCTCTCTCTCTCTTTCTCTCTCTTGTGGGAGCTCTTAGTCTCATTGATTTGGCTACCTTAGGGCTGCGTTCCCCACGCCCACGCGGTAGACAATATTGTGTCTAATCTGACATCGGGTGGCCTTTTCAGCCCAGGGTGGCCTTGATTGCCTTCAGGGAACTCCCAATGGGGGACACCGGCCAGGGGACAGCCGGTAGCAGAGGGACCGAGCATCATCTGAGTGGCCAGTCGCTGTGCCTCCCCGATTACCCCTCCCCCTATGAACATCAGCAGACACTGCAGTTGGGGGGACCAACGGGCTATCTCTAGGTGGCGGGCGCCAAGCATGCCCAGGAAGGTACATGAGGCCAATGGGGATTGAACCCAAGACCTCCTGAATGCCACTTGCGTGCCTTACCGACTGGGCGCCAAGCATGCCCAGGAAGGTACATGAGGCCAATGGGGATTGAACCCAAGACCTCCTGAATGCCACTTGCGTGCCTTACCAACTGAGCTAGGCCGCTGGATCTGGGGGAACATCTTTCAGGCCTGAACGACCGCAGGTGTTTTTCGGTAGCTTCAATAGTTGTCAGAGGGGGTCAACACTGAAATCGGTAATCAGAGGGGCACGCAGCAAATAAATCGACCTTTCAGGGGCATATCGAAAAAAATTGCACAGAGAAAAGCCTCGCGGAGGCTCAGTTTTAGTTTCGAGTATATTACAAGGTGGTCACACCGCGGCCGTAGATTTTCAGATCGGATTGTAGGGACCCATGTATACTGAAAACCGGAACAAGACAGCATGGTTGTTTGGCATCCCTACCGGGGGCAAGGTCCCATTTGCTCAGATTAGGATATTTCCGCCGTTGATCTCAGCTATCTACGGTCTCTATCTCTTAATTCGTGCAAGTGGGACCTAGCCCCGGGGCTGCCCGCGGTGGCCTTTGGCCCCGCTCCGCAATAAGGCCCTGGGGCGGCTGCAAGGGGTTTTCGCTAGCTCCGCAGAGCACCCTCTCTTATCCACCCTGTCCGAAGATCGCACCGCGCGGCGAGTAGGCTTCTTTTCACGGGTTCGGCGATTTCCAGCCGGTCAGGTCGAGGTCGTGTAAGTTCCTTCCTTTCCTCGTCTCTCTGGCATATCTACTCACTTCATGAATGAAATGCGTATATGTGCGTGATGAAATCCATCTCGCTGATTGTTTCGCGAATGCATATGTCCGCTCTTCGTCGGCCGCCATAGCCAGTCTTCTCATGTTCGTTCCTGATCTTCGTTTTCCATAACGGTCAACTAAAGAATTAGCCGTTCTGAACAATCAGGCGGCCGCTCAGTCGGTATCTGACGTCACCGTGTTGTTCTAGAAGGGCCCAACCACGGTGAACACATCCACGCCGTCGGGATCCCGCCGCCGGGACGGCGGCAGAGGAAAAGCGTCTCTCTGCAGCCAGCGGCGAAGAATCGTAAAGAGACGCGAGCCGGTTCACAGTCCCCGGTAGTCCAAAGAAAAATCTGGAATGCCAAGAGAGCCAGTAAAGACAGATTTTGAAAAAAGAAAAAAGGTAAAACCGGTGGTAATCACCGAACAATGTCATGATGGGAGATCGGTACACAGACGATCACGCAACGTTCCCCCTTTCCCAATCCTAATCATCAGTTGGAAGAGAAACCAATCGAACGGACGCTAAGGTCTAATTGACGATCAGAGATTCACGATACGCAGGCTCGTCACGCATATATGCACCTGGCAGACCCCCCTGATGGCTTTCGCGTGGAGATTCTGATCATGAGAACAGTTCGCAGAGACGACAAGTAACGAAGACGACCAGTACCAGAGACGAAGAGACACAGGGAGAGGTGAGGTATGGAGGATGGAGAAGAGAGGTATGGAGCCAGAGCAAGGAGGAAAACTTGACGATGCAGGGAAATATGGAATTAAGGACATGAGCGAGCGAACGAACGAGGGATTCCCTGACTTCGACTCATGCACGCCTTCACGTGTCATGTCGTCTTGTTGAGGAAACGTGGCCGAACCGAGTCATATCTCCAGCAAGAGCAAGACACAGGCAAACAAACACACACACACACACACACACACACACGCACACGGACACCCGGGGGGAGAGAGAGAGAGAGAGAGAGAGAGAGAGAGAGAGAGAGAGAGAGAGAGAGA